CTTCCATCGGTAAATTTGCGACCTTGTAGGGATGTCGCACCTTCTGCTGTTATTGTCGAGTCCACTTGGCGAGTGACATGTGAACATTCCACCTCACCACCCTCCTAAAAAAGGTGAGCTCACAAGAGCGAGGAGTGAAGCATAAAAACGTCCAATACTTCCCTCCCACCATTTGCATGAACTTCCAGAGTCCATCGAAAACCGGCTCCGTCCACTTGCTCATTGGACTTGGATGGCACAAGTCAAGCACCGCGATGTGGCATGTCAGATGTTGGATGACCCTGTAGATCTCTTTACTGTCGACAGCATCAGATACATCACTAGGATCCTATTGGAAAGGCACAAAACCAGATTTGACATCTTGTTTTTGGAAATGTATGTATTTCGCTAGGCCTGACAATCGGATGTTCTTCATGAAATGCTCGAACTCTTGGGGACACATTTCAGCGAGAGTTCTCGTTTTCTCAAAACCTTGTTCGCATTTTTCATCTTCGCCTCCAAGTGTTGGGGGGAACGACTTTATCCAAAGCAAATCTTTGAAATGCTGCCTGAGATCAACCCATTTATCATAAGTAAGGTCGTGACCGCGGTATTTCTCGAATAAATCTGCCAAGTCCATGAAGAAAGGGTCCTTCCAATCCGACGGGTTCTTGGTTGGGTCTGAAATGAAGACGAAGTAATGAAACATTCGCAGCATTGCTCTCTTTTTTTTCACGACTTCAACATATGTCTCCCTGGAATGTAACCCAGCATCTTTCGCAGCTTTGCTTTGCTTTGGGGCCAAAACAACTGCACCTCCCAGGATATCACGTAATATATGTAGTCGTTCATGCCTCCCTAAGGTGGAAAGGGATTTCCACGATCTGACATCCGGAGAGTGCACTGGAATAAGGAAACCAGGTCCTTTTGTACCTGGAATCCAATGCACAGGAACTCTCGATACACCCTTCACCAGGACCTGACCTTTGTGCCTTTCCCGCTTCACCTTGTTTGGTGACAGGCTTCACAGCATCTCTCCCAGGCAGTTGTCTACTTTCCCAAGCAGCATATACCTCCTCTACCTTTATAAATACATAGTCTGACGACCTAGCTAAAATCATGTATGGACCAAGGAAGTCAGACCATTCTGAACTCCACTGACCTAGTGACATACTAATGTAATAATTTGTGTAGCGCGGCGAACGTGTTCGCGGGCCTTCCCGTTCGGGCGAACACGTTCGCCCGTTCGCGCGAACGGGTCGAGAACACGTTCGCGAGAACGTGCTCTCGAGGCCCGCGAACGGGTTCCGCCCAGGCTGGTACCGGTCGCCGGCGGGGGTTCGGAGGGCATCGTCCGTGTGTGGGGGGCGCGGGAAGCGGGAAGCAGGTCCAGGGAGAGGAGCGGGGGGGG